CACACATGCACACACACACAAACATACACCCCCCTCTCGCTCTCTCAGTCCAAGACACAGGAGGTTGTTGCAGCAAGATAGGCACAGATGGAGAACATCCACCCAGTCAGAGGTACAAGGGGGCATGGGATATATCTTGTACAGGCTGCAACACACAAGCTGTGTTACTTCAGGACACGTGTGCACACACTTCAGCTTGGGCCATGTGGGCCTTGTCAGCATGCATGTAGAGAAGGGACATAGCTGTTCAAGCCTGATGCACACACAACATGCTGCAGGCTCATGCACATGCTTTTCTGTCATTGCGTGTGTATGTGTTCATGGGTTGGGGGAAATATTTAACTTCCAGCTTTGGATACTGGTGACCTCCTGAATGCACGTGGACATACGAGACACACAATGTTCTTCTGACACATGGGGCTGTCAGAGAACTGTGTTGCTGTGGGAGAGAACTGGGCAAGCTTGGGGGGGAGAACAGCGTACATCATGGGGTACGTCATCTACAGAAGCCTGCAGGGCCTGGTCACACCTGGAATTACATCCTAGCACACTGCACAGTGTCATCACACAACACATTCCAGCACCTGCTCTCATGAGTGTTTTGATGAGTCCGTGCATTAAAACCAAATAAATAGATAACAAACCCACTCCTGCAGAGCAGGAACCAAGAATTTGGTGCTTCAGTTTCAGACGCCCAGACTTCATTCCCTTGTGCTACAGGTCTCTCTTCCCGCCTGGTAGTACGTCCCTTATTTTCACTGTAAATCTGAGAGTATATCAGAAAAAGGGCAAACAAATCTCACACTGATACTATTATACCACAATAAAAACCCCCCATAAATGCATGCAAGGCTCCAGCACATGGCAGGTACACATGCAAGATACCATGATACAAGTACTCATTCTCTTCAATTCTACTGTTTGCCCTGGAAAGGAGAGCTGGTTAGAGTTGGCACACAATACACTCCAGCCCCAATATTTGTCATTGGTAAATGAAGAATGTGATTAATATTGAATACGGGACCTTCTGAATTATCCTCCTGTCCTAAGTATAGGTCCCTGTTATAGCAGTCAACCACATCAGAACATAGGATGGGAAGGGCCTTCCAGAGTCCAGTCCCCCATGAAACTGTCTGCTTAGCTCCTCTCATGTACCACAGCCGGGATGCTACTTAAAAAATACCTACACTGGGACACAGAAAAGAGCCAGGAGAGAGAAGGGTGCTGTCAGTGTCCTGGCCATTGCAATAGCAGGGAATTAGGCAAAATATGTACAGGTGATCCTAGGAAGAGGACCAGGCTGGCATCATGATAGAAGGCCAAAGCCCCATGGTTCTTGCCAGTCTGATCCCAAATCTGAAAATCAGTTTGACATGAGTTGTATGACCAAGACCTTCTAGATAGGTACCTAAGGTATTTCTAGGTACTAGTAAGAGGATCAGGATACCCAAACCAAACTCCCACCCAAGGGTCTGGGGCAGTTACAAGACAGCAACATGTTCCCAGTCTCTAGATTGAAGTGACACAGGTGTTTTGGAAAGCTGGGAGGCTAGAGATGAAAAAAAGCTTTAAACAGTTAAAAAAGTCTCTTGAGGAAAAGAAGTGTGGGGGGTGAGCAGGTGCCAAGGATTTTCCAAGGGTTCAACAGTGAGTTCAACAGCTCTGTAGCAGTCTAAAGGGAGTTAACTTCAAGAGAGAGTACTTGTTAATAAGGCATTGAAAAGGATGTAAGATATCTTGCATAAGTTGATCTTCCCTCAATTGCAGTGGTGCATACACGTTATTTGTTAGTCACTATGTAAAAATAGTTACTGCCCCATCACAAACCGGGCCTTTTGAAGGCAGAGACCACCAGCACCATTTATATGGAATCTAGTAAACTGAACCCCTCCCGATTTCTGTGTAGTGTCCAAACTCGGTATACATAATGATTTAAATTAATGAGTCAATGAATAAGTAAACTGACATGGACTAGAAAACAATTTTAAATGATTTAAAATGATTTTCTTGTCTGTGCTAGTTTTGTTCATTCAAATAATTTAAAGGTATTGGCCCATTTTAAAATGAGGAATATCAACTGATACTTATTTTTACTATTAGAAAAAAACAGACACAGCACCAATAGAAGCTGGCAGTAGGATCACTTACTGTTAACAAAGTACATATACGATTTTGATTCAGTCTTATGTGGAAAAATTCTCTTTGGGGTTAACGAGTCTCCACCTTCCCAAAATATAAAAACACCCTGGACTGCAATAGATCAGTATTACCAGTACTTTTTCTCTGGAGGCCGGGTGGGTATATGAGTACATGCCATAGCCAAAGATCACAGCAGGTACTATTTATTACTGATGCATATAATGTTCCCTTCATTGCCTGCATTTTCCCTCCCTACTGTACTTTAGTTCTATTAGCACCAGATCTTTTTCCAGACCTTAATTGTATTTGTATTTTCAAAGGAAATGTGTGTGGTATATTCTTGCTATGATTACCTCATGGCTTTTTCTTTGTAGTATCTTTGAATATAAAAGTATCTCGTCTTTCGTGCCATAGTTTTTAATGTTTACAGCTATTTCCTGTATGTGGCTCTCAGCCAGTCATTCCTTAATATTTTTCATGTGGCAAACCAGGAGTGACTTGTTCTGCAAGAAATCGCCACGGAGATTTGAAGACAAGAAAATGCCATTTTGTCTTAAAAACAGAAAAACTTTAAAGATTGTCATCTTCAGCTTTTATTTTTGGACATTTATCTTTTTCCATTTGTCCTGACCTTTTATATACTGTTTTAAGTAAAGGTGGTTAGCCAGCTTAGTCTGAAGGTAGCAGGTAGGGCAGGGTGTCAATTTAGAGACTAACTGGGCATGTCTACACATGCTTTTACAAGTGCCTAAACTTAATGCGCATTAAGGTGATTTAGGCACATGTGGTGTGAGGACCGACTCGGAACTAAAGTTAGTCCCGAGTCAGTCAATATACACAGCATCAATGTGCCTTAGCACGTCTACATTTGCATTAAGGCTCTTTAGTTATTTACCTACCTAAATTTGATACCTGCTTTGGTACTGAGGCATATACTTTCTTCTTATGTCTAAATCCACTGTGGAGGTACCACTGACATTCTCAAAGTCACTTTACTGCCACTTAACTCTAGAGAGAGACAAATTTCTCTTGATGGGTGTGCACTAATTCGTTGCTTTGAGCTATAGAGTTAGGCACTCTCTTACCTAATGAATAATAAAACTGAGCACTGAAATGCCTAAGTACCTTTAAGGATGGTTTATAATTATATTACTGCATGTGCTACATTTATTTTTATTCATGTTTACATTTAATTCATTACTACCTCATTTGACTTTATACCATCTGAACAGCAGATTCAATGTAATCCTTTTGTTCACTTGAATGACTCAGTTTGAATCATACCTTGAGCTGCACAATTATCTATTTTGCAGAAATATTTATACTTTTTATTAAGAGAGTGAACACTAAGTTATAGTCATTTCACCAGTGGGGTATCTAGCTAGGTGATGCTTTTAGGCTGGTTGAGCAGGTCTAACTCAATGGCAAACCTCCACTGACTTCAGTGGTGAAGAGTTAAGAGCAAAACATTTTCTTTGCAACTGTGTGCAATGTAGCACTAATTCTGTTATTTTGTAGTTTGATATGCTGAAGTATAATTTGGCTTTTAGGGGCTTCTCATTACAGGGCATATTTCTCCATCATTGTCTCTAAGAAGTTAGATGTTAGAACTCTGGAAGTCTGGTATTCTGCCCTGAGGAGAATCAAGAAAGTATTCGATATTCTAGGTGATCACATGAGGATATTGTTTGCTTTTAAATGAGTGACTATTTTTGCTTGAAGAAAAACACAAAAACAGGATCAGGCTCATCTGTTTAGTAATGCATTGCACTTAACAAAGGAAGAACAAAATATGAATTAAATATAAAACAGCAGGATGAATACACATTTTTAAACAATGCTCTGTTAATAACACTTGCTATTCTATTTAGCAGTAAATAAACTCTACATTAAAAGTTGTATCTCTCTGTGTCTGACACACGGACACTCAGTTTGCCTTGCACTCTGCAGTCTATTGTTTGTACTACTTTCATTGCTGTTACTCTTTAAAACAAAACAAAAAACATCTAGTAGATACCCCATCAACCTCTTAGCAAAACAATGCATGTTTCTTTATTCCATCCTTGAATAATAAAGTAAAGTCTCTTTTAGCAGGCTGCACCAGGAGTTAGGAGTGTTCCACCATTCTAAGTCCAATTTTTGCTGATAGCATTTTGGCACCAGTTAATTTATTATTTAGGGGCCAAATGATGAGATCCACATTCAGAATTTTGCTTCAGAAAGCAATGGCCTTAAATAAGTTGCCTTTGCTTAATTAAGCTTTACTTTTCAGCAGTGCGAGAGGTGCAAAGCCAGGGGAGAGAAGAGAGTCTTTCTGTGGTTCTTAAAATCAGTGGTTGGTTTGTGTGTGTAAAGAAAGCAAGACAGGACTTTATAATTAAATGGAACTGCTTCACCATAATTAAAACTACTTAGCGCTTCATCAACTTAACTTTCTGCTGTTCCTTGAGCATAAAATGAAATGCATACGAATTACCACCAGACATTAAATATAGCCTCTCCCACATTCATACAAAGACTTTTTTCCCCCTCTTAATGTTTTCTGTGGTTATTAGACAAAAATGCACTCTTTTTAAATACTGGTAAAATGAAACATTTTAGTTAAATACATGTATATAATCTAACTACTAAAGCAGAAAAGGAATGCTAGTAAAGTTCATGTGTGCATGGTGACATAAAAAGAATCTTATTTTTCTCAGCTGATTAGTTAAGAAAAATAAACCCCAAAGAGTTCAATATCTCTTGCATATCATATATAGAATAGTCTCTTGCAGCATGTTAGTGACTTGCATTTCACCATGCAATTAGCTGGTAACTTCAGTGAATGGAATCTTCAGTAACACAAAATAAAGCAAAAAAAGCAGCAGAGAAAAATGTTTTTATTCATTATGGAACGTTAAAAATAATGGAAGTAAAAAAAGTCACTTATGTCTATGGTTTCAAAGATAGTCTGAAGGAGGTAGAAACTCCATTTTCTTTGAAGGTCTAAGAAAACTGGCTTCTCTGTCTTCTTTAAGTATGGTGGCCTATATCCTAGCATTATTTAAAGGAAGGTTCAGCAGTTGCAGCCAGGATGCAGCTGGATTAATCTACAGTTTTGCCAGTTTCAGTTGTGGTTTTGGGAAGAATTTTTGTCTCGGACATATTTCCATGAGTTCTCCGTAGCTTAAAGCCTTTCCTGATATCTGCTAGCAAGGCACTGATGTCACCTGCTTCTGGTTTCACATCTCCTTTTCGAACTATGAAGAATGAGATTATACATGTTAAAACACTTTGGTGCAGCGGGCTTTGAAATCCCCAAAAAGAGCTATAGTTTAAGGCTAGTTTGTTAACTGCCAATGAATAATCCCCCTTATGCATAATGTAGATAAATTAGAAACTGATATGGAGGAAACTTGTAATTTCCATCAAGTATCCAAAGTTTAAGGCCCTAATTTTGCAAAGATTTACTCAGAGTGCACAAAACTAAACATGTACTTAATTCTTTCTTAATTCTGTGATGGTTCAAAGCCTAAAAATCCTGCAGGTACCTGCTAATAGGATGTCATTGAATCCATTGACTTTCAACTGTTTTCCTACAAAAAATAATACTCTATTTTAATAAAAGACCCAACACTACTGTGGTCCTAAAATGTCTTTGTTGTGTACACAGCATGGGAATTCTCAAAAAAGCTTGAGTAATTGAGGCACTCAACTCCGACCTTGTAAAAAAATGGTGATATGTCACCAGCTTACTTCAATGCGGTCTTGTGATTGGGAATTGCAACCAATAATGCCCATCGTTCCTTTAAGTGTGGGCATTAATCAGTATACCATTTTCTTAGATGAGTGTCAAGAAAAATAATTTTATCCAATCTCCTCAAACCCCATTTAATTTAGACCTGTCCCAGAGAATGAAATTTACTCCCTTGCAGAGGGCTGCTACTAAACCTGTGTACCCCTGCACTCCCTCTTAAACTTGATTTTCCTGTAAGTGGAATATGAAAGTGGGTCATAGGCCTTGTGTTGTCTTTCTGCACGGTCACAAATTACACTTTTAATTTTATTTAAAATGTATTTAAATTATGTTTTTGTATTTATAATAAACCATATGTTACCCGGGAATGACATGCCAGGAATGACAGCCTCCACACTGTGGATGCTGAGCGGGTGTAATACCAACTAGAAAAGCTAGAGATTTGTAAATCAGCAGCACCAGATGGACTCCATCCGAGAGTGCTGAAGGAGCTGGCTGAGGTCATCGCAGAACCCCTGGCAAAGCTCTTTCAGAATTCGTGGTGCACAGGGGGAATCCCTGAGGATTGGAAGAGGACCAACATTGTGCCCCTCTTCAAGAAGGGGAAGAGGGAGGACCTGGGCAACTATAGGTCAGTCAGCCTAACCTTCATCCCAGAGAAAATCCTGGAAAAGCTCATTAAAGAATCAATGTGCAATATGCTCACGGAAGGGAAGATTTTGAATGCCAGCATGGCTTTGTCGTGGGTAGGTCTTGTCTTACCACTCTCATCTCCTTCTACGACCAGGTCTCTCACCACCTGGACATGGGAGATGAGGTAGACAGTATATACCTAGCCTTCCAAAGGCTTTTGATCTAGTATCCCATGATATCCTTGTGGGGACACTGGAATATTGTGGGCTCAGCTGCTCGACAGTTCAGCGGGTGGGAAACTGGCTACATGGTAGGACTCAGAGTGTTCTCATGAATGGATCTGTGTCGTCCTGGCGTGAAGTGGCCAGCGGTGTCCCTCAGGGGACTGTGCTTGGACCAATACTTTTCAACATCTTTATCAATGATTTGGATGGGGGAGTGAAAAGCTCGCTGGCCAAGTTCACAGACGACATCAAGTTATGGGGCAATGTGGTCACGTCAGAAGCTAGGTTGCAGATACAGGCAGACCTGGACAGGCTCGAGAATTGGGCAGACCAGAACCAGATGAAGTTTAACACTTCCAAGTATAAGGTGCTCCATCCAGGGGCAAACAACCTTCAACACACATACTGGTTTGGTGGTGACAGCTTGACTTTCACCACGGCCGAAGGGGACCTAAGGGTAATGATTGACAGTTGCATGAATATGAGCTGTCAGTGCAAGGCAGTGGTCAGCAGGGCAAATAACACACTGGCATGCATCAACCAATGCATCTTGTGTAATACTAAGTAAGTGATACTCCTGCTGTACTCAGCACTGGTGAGACCACAGTTGGAGTACTGCATCCAGTTCTGGGCACCGCACTTCAATGAGAATGTGGAAAACCTTGAGAGGGTCCAGAGAAGAGCCACCAGCATGATCAGGGACTTGCAAGGCAAGCCATACGAGGAAAGGCTGAGGGACCTGGGCCTCTTTAGCCAAAAGAAGAGAAGGTTGAGAGGGGACTTGATAGCGGCTTACTGCTATATCAGATGAGTGCATCAGGAGCTCGGTGAACAACTGTTCACCTGGGCACCCCTGGGGAAGACCAGGACCAATGGATACAAACTCCTGGAAGGCCGCTTCAGGCTTAATACCAGGAAAACCTCCTTCACAGTCAGGGTGTCCAGACTGTGGAATAAACTTCCTCCAGAGGTGGTGCAGTCACCTACCCTGGTGGTTTTCAGGAGAAGAC